TGCTTCAATGGAGTTTTCATATAAAACTAAACAAAACTGTGTTAAAACGGCTTATGCTTCAATGGAGTGTTCATATAAAACTAAACAAAACTGTGTTAAAACGGCTTATGCTTCAATGTAGTTTTCATATAAAACTAAACAAAACTGTGTTAAAACGGCTTATGCTTCAATGTAGTTTTCCTAGCCGAAAATAATTTAGCCTAGTGTACAAATAATGTCTAGTTAGCGTTAGAATTGTTTGAGTATTTGAAATATAATCATTAATTTGAAATTAACAACAAAATTGTGACTTATGCCTGGTACCTTGTTAAATGCTACGTTTATTTCCTAGAACTTGGTTTCAAATAAGTTTAAATAGTCTTCTATTAACAGCAAAAAGGTTTTCACTTCATTTTACTAAAAATAGGTACATCCTTATACACGATACTTTCACCGAGTGATGACGTCAATATTTTAAATATTACGTAATTGTTTGTTCGTGTATATATTCTCTGGGTTTTACTTACTAAATTGTTGATAAGGCGTTTATTTAATGGAATGAAACCTTTAAAGCCTTTCTAAGATGTCTGTAAGAACCTTAGTCCTCTAGAAGAGAAACACATTTCATGTTTTGTTTAGTAATGTCTTTAAACAAGTTTTAGTTTGACGTTCTTCCCAAATAAGATCAATTGAATAGGACGCCATTTTTTTATATACACGCGTGGATATCCATAAACTACAAATGCTTTAGATATAATCGGTTATTTAAGGTGATTTGAAATAGTTCAAAAATAGTAGTAGTTATTTCATACGCATGAAAAGTTAAAACATCGACTGATTCTATAAAATGTTGTTCGAAATAAGAAATAAACATTAAAAACAATTCAAGAACTAAGTTAACATCACAGACATGACGTTTATGAAGATAAATAAACAAAACAAGTCGTCAATAAGTTTTAAGGAACATTATTGAATTTTCTACAGATCCACCAGAACTGACTCTACGACTCGGCAGCAAGTTACGACACTCTCACATTCAAGAAGGAAATGACGTTTATTTCGAATGTAACATCCGTGCCAATCCATGGGTGACAGAAATTAGATGGGAGTTTGAAAGGCGCGAACTACAAACGAACACAACTGTCGGTATCATTGTGAGCAATCAATCGTTGGTGTTACAAAAAGTACGACGGTCTAGTAGAGGTCACTATATCTGTTCTGCCAGAAATTCTGAGGGCGTGAGAGAGAGCAATGCTGTGTATTTACGTGTTCAATGTAAGTAACATTGTTCTGGTGATGTGTATTTACGTGCTTTGTGCAAGAAATGATTAAGTGTATTTACCTGTTCTGTACAAATAACGTTGTTCTGATAAGGGTATGTGGATGTGGCAGAAAGCAGTGTTGTACATTTACGTATTCTTTGTGTGTAATATTGTTACAACAAGATAGAATATTTAAATGTTCAGGGAAGTAACACAGTTCGTGGAAGATGAGTCTGGCAAGGTAATCTTCTGAAAGTAAGAACAGATTTAGGTAACATATTGTGGATGAAAACAAAGAGTATTATATTTACATTTTCAGTGTAGGTAATGATGCTACGTAAGTAATATGTGTAAGGTATGCGGGTGATTGCTGCATTTTGCCTGATGTGTGTTTATCGGCAAATAACATAATCTGTTTATATGGGAATAACAAATTGTTGATTTTTTTATGTTCTCCCTTAAGATTGTGGTAAAAATATAGTAATTTAGAGCAGTGGTTCTAAAAGTGTGGTCCACGGCCAACTAGTGGTCCGTAGGGTCCTCCATCTGGTCAGCGGGCTGATCTAAAATTCAAGTTACATCAAAAGCAACGCCATTCTTCCCTTTAATTGTAATGGGTGTTTTTTTTTGTTTTTTTTTGCGGTGACAAGCGAAAGCGGGTGGGGTAGGACTGGTAGATGGTGCGCGAGGACGTTTGCCGTGCCGAAGTGGTTAGCAGACGAAAAAGTTTAAAAACCACCGATTTAGATAATCACAATATAACCAAACAATTACGTTTACTTTATTGTTTTAGCTAACATTCAATTCTTCATTTCATGTAGAATGTGCCTTTTCAAACTGATTTAAAACAGCGTGTAATGGATTCCAACTTTATTTCTTATTAAAATGTCAGATGCTCCAATTTGTAAGCCGGACCAAAGAGCTATCTACGGGGTTCCCAAACATGACGGTGTGAAAGTACGTTGTGAAGTAGATGCTGACCCTTCATCTGTGACCTTCAAGTGGGCTTTCAACAACTCAGTGGAACGTCTGGACATCGTGGACTTTGTGACAAGCGGTACGGAAAGTCTTGCTTCATACATTCCTCGAACTGAATACGACTACGGGACCCTGCTCTGCTGGGCTAGGAACAGTGTTGGTACACAACGCCAGCCCTGTGGATTCTTAGTGATTCCTGCAGGTACAGCAAAGCTAACACTAACTTTTTATTCATTGATTCCTACTTCCTACTTCCTAATTCTACGTTATTTATTTCTATCAGCAGGTTTCTTTTAGTTTGACATTACATAAACTTTCTTGTTTCTATGTAACCAATACGTAATACACCAAAGTGGCATCCTGATGAATTTCCAAATGCCAAGTTAAAGAATAAAATGGGTTGATTTTTACCTCTGTTAGTCAAACTGACCAGTACAGTAGTATTCCACGTCCAGAAAGCGTACAGCTGGTATTTCCTCAACACTCTTTCAAATTTTACTGAATATTGCACTATAGCATAAGGAATCCAACGGTGCTGTCGACCAAAAAAGTATAAAAATAAGGAGGAGATATAATGATTTCAGTTTTTGGTACATGGGGAATTTTTTTAAGGTAACGGTGTTATTGCAATACTATATCTATAGAGGTTCTCGCTAAATCAGTAATAATCGGGAACTGTGAGAACAACCAGAACATTTACTTTCATGATTGCGCTCTCCATAGAGGATAGATGTTTTGTTTTAAGGTAACGGTGTTATTGCAATACTATATCTATAGAGGTTCTCGCTAAACCAGTAATAATCGGGAACTGTGAGAACAACCAGAACATTTACTTTCATGATTGCGCACTCCATAAAGGATAGATGTCAGAAGCATCATATTAAAAGGTTATGTGCAGATGTAATGTAGCAAAACGCTCGACGTGCTACCAGTGTAGCAGATATAGATGCGATCATGACGGAATACATATTGCAGAGAAGGCAAGTCGTAAAATAGACCTGAGAAGGAGTTCAGTTGGTGCTAATAAAAATACTGAACGGTCAACGAGAAGCATGTCCACCTACAGGGCGGGCACGCTTTTATGTGAGCCAAACCAAAGAGTTAAAGCTGAGTTAAGCAGTTATGAAGACGACCTTTGCTAGTTAGACCACCATGCTTGATTACAGCGGTGAGAGTGGTTAACTTTGTAGAGATAGAGAATCTCTACAACCAATATGTCCTTAGAAAATGCCAGCAAAGGATTCCTCAGATGAAACCCTACAGATCCCTAAGTTTTATTTCAGCTTTCGCTGCCCACCCTCCAGTGTCACAGCGGTATGTGTGCGGACTTAAAACGCTAGAAACCGGGTTTCGATGCCCGTGATGGGCAGAGCGCAAATAGCCCATTGTATAGCTTTGTGCTTAATCACAAACAGACTATTCCAGCTTTTTCGGATTTGTGGATGTCGTGTGGACCCTACTTTGATACCAAAATTACATATTTGACTTGATTGACTCAGAAATTCGTGGCTGAATACTTTATAAATAAACCCGCTGATAGGTCAAGCACATTATCTGTATTAGAAGGTACTAATACCTGGGACTAGGATGGTTCAATAATTATTGTAACGGATTCTTACTGTATTCAAAATATTACACTCCGTACTTTGGGTCATGTGTGCTTTATAATAGGGACAGTCAAATCCCTCTTTTCTATCAGAAAAGAGTAGTAGCCAAGGGTTGCAATGAGAGCTATTGACTGGGTAGGCCTAGCGCAGATAGCCCTTGAGCAGCAATATTCGAAATACATAACCATTAATGCCCATTAATAAATATATATAGATAACATTAAAACTTGTGTATTAAAATAAAAAAGCAAGGTTTTTTTCCATGCTGTTTTTGAAGTTTATATTTCATATGAATTTGGTCTTCAGGATTTTAGGTAAGAATTAACTGACAGTTCATAGACAGACAAAAAAAATAAAAAATCTGTAGACAGTTTGAAATTGGAACCGCTAATTACCAAAGGCACGAGTTTATATCAATCGATATTGTAAAAAAAAATACAACCAGTCTGTTTTGTGGTTTCTTTTTGATCGTTACACAGGTAATACTAACGCAATTTTTTAATTACCAATTTGGAATACCGATAGAATGACAAACACGCTATTCCAGGTAACCAAAGTCTGGAAATGAGTTTCATTTTATGTCCATAGATATATATGCATAAAAATATCATTATGCTCAGTAGTCTGATCCAAGTAACCAACCTGATTAGGACAGAACAAAAAATAAACAAGCTAAATAGGTCATAACAGAAAATGAATAGACTAATTTGGTCAGAATAAAAAATAACCTAATTAGGTCAAAACAAACAATGAACAACCTACTTGGGTCATAATAAAATATAAACAACTTAACTGAGTCAGAACAAAAATAAACAACCTAATTTAGTCAGAATAAAAACATAAACAACTTAAGTAGGTCAGAACAAAAAATAAAAAACTTAATTAGGTCATAACAAATAAATGAACAACCTAATTGGGTCAGAACAAAAATTAAACAACCTTTATTAGATTAGAATAAAGATAAACAACCTAATTGAGTTTGAAGGAACACTTCCTACAGTAAATAATGTAGCCTGTATGGAATGCCATAAAATAAAATAAAAAACAGAATAGAGGAAAAGAAGACATGGTCATGAATAAATGATGTATTTGTGAAACGTACACTTGTCTTCTTTTTCCTCAATTCTGTATTTATGGATTTTTACCAAGTACAGACGGTTTCAAGTATCAATTACACACAAAAAAAAACAGTATATTAACATAATTCCTCAATATTCACATCATTATAACAATTTTTGCATGCCTCAGTATATTAACACAATTTCTCATTATTCACATTATTATAACAGTTTTTGCATGTTTCAGTATATTAACATAATTTTTCATTATTCAAATAATTATAACAATTTTTGCATGTCTCAGTATATCAACACAATTTCTCATTATTATAACAGTTTTTGCATGTCTCAGTATATTAACATAATTTCTCATTATTCATAACAGTTTTTGCATGCCTCAGTATATTAACACAATTTCTCATTATTCATATTATTATAACAGTGTTTGCATGCCTCAGTATATTAACACAATTTCTCATTATTCACATTATTATAACAATTTTTGCATGCCTCAGTATATTAACACAATTTCTCATTATTCACATTATTATAACAGTTTTTTCATTCCTTAGTTTATTAACACAAGTTCCCATTTTCTACGTTATTCAGACAGTTTTGAATATCCAGTACAGTTTTCTGTACCCAAGTTTTTGAATCTCACGTTATTACCAGTTTTTCATTATTCACGTTACTAAAACAGCTTCTCATTACTCGCTGTGTTCATACAGTTTGTCATACTCATATTATTAGCACAGTTTCTTATTACTCACGTTATAAACACAGGCTCTTGTTACTTAGTGTGCTAACAAGGTTTTCCTACTCACGTTATTATCGTTTATGTCTTAAAAGTTAGCAACTTGATGGTTCAGCAAGAAAAGAAAAAACTTTTCACACCTGTATGTTAATTGGTGTGTTTTTTAATCTGTCTGGAAGTAGATATAGAATTTTGGTATATAGTTTATATTACATATATTTATGTAAAAATTCATTTCAATTTCAAACATTAATAATACTGATTTTAAAGTGATGAAGTTTATAAAATAAAGACAAATTGAACCAATTTTAAATGTTACTTTAAACACGTTTCGCCTAAACTCACTACACTTGCAGATAAAAACATAAAATATAATAAAAAATAGAAGTGGCTTTGTAAGTAGTGTGTTTCCCGGAAATTACTAAGCTGGCTCTTGGATTTATCTCTGGTATAGGTGTTCCAGACCCGGTCCATAACTGTTCCGTGTTCAACGAAACAGATCACAGCTTCCGGGTGGAATGTGAAGCGGGCTATAATGGCGGGCTCGGTCAACATTTCGTAATGGAAGTTCTTGATACGCCTTATCTGCAACTGCAAGCAAATATGACATCGCCGTTTCCGATATTTCGTGCTCGTAATCTCCCGTCGTCATCAAGCTTTGTGGTGTTGGTTTACGCTGTCAATGTCAGAGGCGCAAGCCAGAAACACTTCCTCCGCGTCAATACACACGCTAGTCCTGAGACTCAAGCTCACAACGGTATGGTCTCTTTAATCTAGGCAATGGTCTTCAATTTACTCAAACATATTTGGATACTACAAATATTTACTAGTCGTTTCACCTCCAAGTGATAAGTGATGTGTGTGTATATATATATATATATCTGCAAAACGTAGTTTATCTTGCTAAAAGCTATAAAATAGTCCTTAATGTAAGGTTATGCCGATCAATTACCAATCGTTGTCATGGTTAGTAGCTCATTTGATCACCTAAGTATAGTTATCAGTTAGTTACTAATTAGCTTACATTATACGTTTCGGTCACTAATCTATTACTATCTTCCCTGAGAAGGACTATGAGCGGTGACAGTGGTCAGGATTTGATCCTGGATATTCTGGTTAGAAAAGCTAGTGAACTATTCATTTATTTTGGTTCCACCCCATTATAGCTTAGATACTTATTTGAATGTTTTTAATAGTAGGGTATCCAGGTTGTATTGGATCTTATGTAAGGTTGACTGAGTTATTAGTTGGATGTAGAAGGCTCCTTTTTCTTATGTATGGTTCATATTTTAGCATTGTGAGAGATGTTTGAAAATATATCTTCAGTTATCTTAATAAAAGTCAAATATCAACGTACGAGTAACTTCATTATATTTACCAACCAAATTTACTGCCTGAAAAAAAAAAGTTATATTTTTTCGAATAATCATTCTTCTAAAAGTCTTTAAGTAAATGAATAATCATTGATATTTAGAATGCTTGCGTATCGTACTTATGATTTCAGTAAAATTCAAGAATATATATTTTACTGACATCTGGTATGTGAACGATTACTTATATAAACATCAGATGTGCAGATTGAGTACCTTCTTCTGGAACGCACTATTCTTACATTTGCTATCAGATCAGGATTTTGGACCAGTACTAATATAAACATCAGATGTGTAGATTGAGTACCTTCGTCTGGAACGCACTATTCTTACATTTGCTATCAGATCAGGATTTTGGACCAGTACTAATATAAACATCAGATGTGTAGATTGAGTACCTTCGTCTGGAACGCACTATTCTTACATTCGCCATCAAATCAGAATTTTGGACCAGTACTAATATAAACATCAGATGTGTAGATTGTGTACCTTCGTCTGGAACGCACTATTCTTACATTCGCCATCAAATCAGGAATTTGGACCAATACTTATATAAACATCAGATGTGCAGATTGAGTACCTTCGTCTGGAACGCACTATTCTTACATTCGCCATCAAATCAGGAATTTGGACCAATACTTATATAAACATCAGATGTGCAGATTGAGTACCTTCTTCTTGAACGCACTATTCTTACATTTGCTATCAGATCAGGATTTTGACCAGTACTAATATAAACATCAGATCTGCAGATTGAGTACCTTTTTCGTACGAACTCTATCATTACATTTGTCATAAGCTCCGGGATTTTAAAGATTAGTTGTTGAAGGATTATTATTATTTATTTTCTTTTTTTTTTCTAGGACATTAGATATAATTTATTAATTCATAATAACAGGGAACCCGTTTGATTAATTATAATTATGTAAATTAGACTCTGTTTATGTAACTGCAGTTAGATATTAAAACCAGAAATCAAACCAAATAAGCGATGAATTCCTTACAGATCTAGTTCCACTGTAATAGGTTCTCACATATAACTCAAGTTGCTTATTCTTATGTTATGGGATAATTATCGTTGATACAATACGTCGCTTTTAATGAGATCATTATGTGGTCCTAATCACAGTACTTAAAATAAAGATTACAGAACTTCATAGTTCTTCACTCTGTGACAGTACGGAATAATCAAGGTACAGACATGTAAAGCTGGCTATTATACCAAGTTTCTGGAGGAAAGGGTTTCAAATAACACCATCATTTACTACTATACTTCCTTGCGGTGACTCAGATTGTGATTAGTTCGAGGTAGAGAAAGTTATTCCAGAGATAAGCTACTAGATGGAGGATTTTAGAAACAGCTAATAATGCTTACTATAAAATGTTTTCGGATATACAAATGTAAATGTATAAAGACAAGAGAGATAGAGATTCAAAATAAAACTAACAATAATGCTATTTTCTCTTCAGTGTCTAACCAGTGGAGATTGGCTGTTAGCTCAATGCTAATTATTCTGGTTTCGGTTGCTGTTGGTATCATCTTAGTTGCAATTCTAACAATCTTTGTTATAAGGTACAGAAGAAAAAAAGGTATGCAGCATTTCCTTTATTTTAGTTGAAGATAAGAAAACATTTAATTCATTCAAACTTTACGACACTTTGCTGTGATCGTATTTCAATTGACGATTTTGTAAGAATAGATGTTTCTCTTTACAATATTTTATATTTAGGATCTTTGCTATTTCTGTTCGTCTAAAATAGTTACTTTTGAGTAATATCCACATAAAAAATCATGGTTAAAAGTATGTACGAACGCATCAATATACTAAAATATTTGATAATATTCCTTGGTTAAGAAAACTAAACAAGAACAGATAAGCAGCTGTACACAATTATATATTGAGCACTTAGAAGTAGGTGGCGCTCCCAAACACCAAGGATATACTCGATTCGCCTATACAGCAAGTTTTCTGGATGATCTTCTCTAGTAAGTGAATCCAGTAAACCGGAACAGGAAATTAGAATTTCCAATATAACAGAAGATACATTAGCCCTCTTTGCTTTCCTTTTTTATTTTGTTGTTGTTCTTTAAAGACGGGATTTATTATGATGCTAAGCAAAGTAATGATGAAACAGTCCACAATCTATTTCCAGAGTTAACCCTTGTTATGTACAATATGTGACTAGAATAATTACCATGCGATTAATGATGTTGTAAACAAAACCGGCAAAAACGTGATTTAAAAAACGTATTCTGTACTGTGGTAAATTATTTTAAGTACATGCTTCATTCGTAAATTTCCTCTACCATTTTGATGACGTCACTGTTCTCTTTACACCATCTGCTCGTCGGGAAAAATCGGAAGAGTTCGGAGTCTATTTCTGTACATAATGTTGCGCACACGTTAATGACAATGAATCGTGTGTACCTTAGGACAGACTGTTGTTGCAGTTGTCCATGCTAATATATCATTTATCATAACTTGCGCTTAGTAATGAGTGAAAGTACTGTGTGAGAGATACTATTCTCTTATAATTGACCTGGTGAATGTTCTAGAAGGTGGACGGTCATTTCTGGCTCTTCATATACTAAATGAAGTATGTTTGTTGTTTGCTTCCTATTTTGAAATAATAATAATGGTTGGTCAATGAGCTATATGCCTCTTTGTCCTCAGTTGTATCATTGTACCTATAGCACAATTAAATGTATCTTAATCTGGATAAAATACGGTTTCCTCTGGAGAAACTTCTAATGTTTACACTCTACCTATTTATAGTTTTATAAAACTCCAAATACACTGACTGATGTAAGTTACAGAAAAATATACATCTATTTGTGTATATTCATTAGGTTATTTTAGCTTTCTCTTCTCATTATAAGAAGAACGTGTTTAATTAAGAAATACATAAATTTATAGATATATTTTCTTCACTTTTGAATTTTAGGCAGGGAAAATGGAAATAAAGAGAGTGAATACAAGTGAGTATTATCTTATTTCTTCGAATCTTCGGTTTTAATATTTAGATTTAGGTAGAAAACGGTCAATAGAACAAAATAAAAATTCTTATGGTTAGTTCATTCTGCCTATATCAACACATTAAAATAAAAGAATGAAAGAATCAACCTACATTACCTTTGCTAATACCCATTATCGACTATTTGCTACCTATTCTAACACATTTAAACGAAGGATAAAAAAAAATCCAAACTAATCTCCTTTCTTGGTTGATTACTACCTATATCAACATATTAAAATAAAGGATGCAAAGCAACAAAAACCTACAATACTTGTGCTAATCTCCTTCCTTGTCTGTTTTCTATTTATATCAAAATATTAAAACGAAGGATCGAGAGAAACAAAACCTACAATACTTGTGCTAATACCCCTTCTTCGCTGTTTACTACCTATATCAAGACCTTAAAACCAAGGTCAAACCAAGGTCTCCAATCTTGGCTATTTATTACCTATATCAACACCTTAAAACCAAGAATGCAAAAACAAATCTACCTGTCTTGCACTAATCTCCAATCTTGGCTATTTATTACCTATATCAACACATTAAAACCAAGAATGCAAATGAACAGAACTATCTTGAATTGTACAAAACCTCTTTCTTCACCGTTCACTACCTATATTACCACATCAAAACGAAGGAATCAAAGAAACAAAACCTATCCTACTTGTGATAATCCCTTTTCTTGGCTGTTTACTACATATATCAATGCATTATAACGATGTATTGAGTGAAACAAAACGTACCTGACTTATGCTACTCTCGTTTCGTAAGATAAAGAGAAAATCGACCAGATATGTAATTTTTGATGCCCATATAACCGTATTAAGCTGGATCCAATTGATGACTGCTTGCAATTTTAAGTGAAAAAATCGTGTTTCGAGTTTTGTATAATTTCATTTTAAAAGAATAAATATTAATACTGAAATAATTAGTAATTAACCTCACAATAACTCCGGGGGAATCAGTGGTTTCTTCAAGTTAAGGGCTTTTTTAACATATCTTACTGGTGTGATGACGTCAATTGTGCTAAGCATATCAAGTTTCTCTTCAGGCAACAACGAATAATTAGTGTTCTGATGACTGTGAAACGCTATTTTTCATATACTCACGAAACATTATCCTAGTTGAACTATTCAAACGTACAAGGATTTTATCACCTAACTAACAACACCAGATAAGCAAATTAAATATAGGCAAATCTTTTCACAGAAGATGTCAACATTTGTAAATTATACGTAAGAGAAACCTTTAACTTCGAAAGGAATATGAATATTTGTTGTTAAATAAACCTAAACCACTGTAATTTGAATGATAACTTGATTTATTTTGACGGAATATATTTTATTCCAGGAGAGTGGTCTTATTTCAGTTTCTTGATCATATAACGTCGAGAAACCTTTGTGGTGCTGTTTAATAAAAACACATTTTGGGTTTCTAGATGTATTCGGCAACATTTTTTATTTTACATTTTTCAGGTGTGAAAGACTGTTGAGACTAAGGCAAACAAAAACGTATATATATCTTAATTATTTACTTTATGTATCAGGCAGCTTGTAAAGTTTTTCAGGCACTGGAAAAATGGCGGGCATTTCTAAGCCACTAAATCTCCATTTAATTGTTTATATATTATTATGTAAAATTTTCCTTTAATGCATATTGCGTTTTTTTTCTCTCGAAAATACAATAGAGAATGTGAAAGTTACTTATAGCTGGTTTTAGTTGAAGCAACTAATAAATACATAAAAATAATGATATCTTAGAACTTAATATACATCTTTGAAATGTTATTGTTGAAAATTGAGAATGATCCTAAAAAATGGTTAAAAATGTGTTTTTGAGATAACATGTGTCGTCTAAACAGGTTTCTAAAATTCGATTGATTTTTTGGACAACTGACAAACTGCAGATTCGGAACATTTCAACAACACCAAGAAATTCAACGTTTACTCGCGGTGTTCCCTATAGTTCTTTGAAAGATACAGGGAAACCTTCCCATTATCTTTACGGTTTTGTGGTTCTTTTGACAAAGGCCTGTTCTTCTCATTTTCAAAAAAGAACCTATTTTTAGAAAGTACCGACTGAAGAAATTTTATAGATTTTACGGGAATAAAGACATTAATAAAAATCACGAGAATTTTTTTTGTTATAGAAGCAAAAGAAACCCGGAAAAATACGACTCTCCAGCAAGCCTAAACGTTTTACCAGTGGAAGAAAAATGTCCGGACTTAATACCAGGTAGGAAAACATGGGAAACTTACGTTCAGATGTGATCCATTAATTAAACTATCGACAATACTAGATGGAGGAATACTAGATACTGATATACAGTTTTGATCCATTAATTAAACTATCGACAATACTAGATACTGATATACAGTTTTGATCCATTGATTAAACTATCGACAATACTAGATGGAGGAATACTAGATACTGATATACAGTTTTGATCCATTAATTAAACTATCGACAATACTAGATACTTATATAGAGTTTTGATCCATTAATTAAACTATCGACAACACTACATAGGAAAATACTTGGTATTTATTTACTGACGTGTTCAATTAACTAAACCATCGACAATATTAGAGAATGAATACGTAATACGTATTTACTGATGTTATCCACTAACTGTAGTTTCGAAAATACTGGATACCTAGTTACTAAACTATCCGCAATACTTGACAGGAAAATACATAAAACATATTTACAGATGTGATCTACTATCTAAACCATCGACAATACTAGAAATGAAAATACGTAATACGTATTTACTGTTGTTATCCATTAACTAAACTATCGACAATACTAGATAGCAAACAGAATACGTGATATATATTTACAGTTTTGATCCATTAACTAAATCATCAGCAATAATTATTAGATAGGAGAAAACGTGATACTTATTTACTAATGTGATCGTAATTTGATAGTAATAATATATTTAGAAGCTTTACACAAATGACATAATTGAAGTTTTAGAAGTCCTTTAAATTAATATTTTGCTTTCATAGAGTTTATTTAGTGATGAATCTTCCTGCTTTAAAATTTTACTTGAATTCAAAATGTGTGTTTAATACTTAATATTAATAACTCAAAGTATTTTTATTATTTTTAATACTCTCATATAAACCTCAATATAATAGAAACTCGTCATATCTTGAGAACTTCATAAAAAAGTGTTGAAATGGAAACACAGCCATTTGTAATTTTGAACTGATAAAAATAGGAAAGCACTCGCTGCCATGTACTACTTTTTCTTGATGGGATAGTGGAATTTGACAGTCACTCTTATTACGCACCCAAGACCCTAAAACAGGGTTACGATAGGTTTAAGGGTGCGGAATATTTCAGGGAAAACTGATGCAAAGAGTTTTTTTCCTCTGCTTTGTTTCTTTCTTTGCTTGTATTTGTTTATTTGTTATGAATTTCGCGCAAATCTACACGAGGATTATCTGCGCTAGCCATCCCTAATTTAGCAGTGTAAGACTAGAGGGAAGGCAGCTAGTTATCAGTACCCACCGCCAACTCTTGGGCTACTCTTTTACCGACGAATAGTGGGATTGATCGTCACATTATAACGCCCCCACGAGCATGTTTGGTGTGACGGGGATTTGAACCCGCGACCCGCAGATTGCGAGTCGAGCGCCCTAACCACCTGGTCATGCCGGGCCTCTTTGCTTGGCTGTCTAAAAGTACTCTTCATCCTTATCCACACCCGCTTATCTGTTTTGGTTAACAACGTTATTTAAAACGTTTTCAAATATTAATAGTTTATGATCAGTCTGCTGATAACGAAACCGGGAATAAATACTTTTACAACTCACCTTATGACGCGCAAAGATTTGTGTTTTGTTTGTGTCGAATCTTCGTGCACAGCCACATAAGGTCTATGTTCGCTATAACCGTGCCCCAATTTTTAACTGAGAGCCCAGAGAGAAAGCAGTTAGCCAACAACACCCACCGCAAATTTGTTGGGATATTCTAATCAAAGAGTAGAATTTGATCGCCGCATTTATATCGTACCCACGACTTCAGAGTACGAAAAGCGATTTCTGTTTTTATTTTTGCATTTAACGAGATGCGAACTCTAGACCCTCGGATTCACAGCCCGGCACGCTACACATTATGCCTCGTCCAGTCAAAAAGTTTTGGAAGACACCGATTTAAGGTTTTGCCACAAAAAAATTACAAATTTAAGTTACGTTGTATAATGTACTTCGCCAGAAGAAACTGAACTTTGGTTTTGAGACATAGATAGTAATTGCACACAAAAAAGAAAAAGGTGAAGGGCTGTTGGTGACGACAAGTAGGGGGAATAACTCGGTGTGAATGTTTAAACATCATGATATTTTATGATATAGCCACTTATTACTTTGGTCTCAGAAAACTATTGTTATAATCCAACACTGTAGGAAAACATTTTTTTTTTTACAGAACACTTTGTTTCATAGGTTATTTATAGAAGCCGTAATGTTCATAAAGTTGAACACTGTTAATGGTAATCGACGTTGGTATACACATCATAACGATTTCTGGTGGAGTTTATATCGGCCACTACCTTTATGTTTATCTAATCTTTGTATAAGACTCAAATCTTCGTCCCTGATTTCAGTTGTTAAAGAGAGAACAAATTTTTTTTATGTATGGAACTCGCTTATCATGATATTCTTGAATAACAATTCAGAAACATCAAACACGATTATGCAAATTGAAATGTTATTCTTGTTGAGGTTGAACAATATCTTTCGTTTTCATTTGTAACTAAACAAGGAAATTCCAAGTTCACAAAAAAGTTCCTAAGATCTAATAAGTTAATATAAAACATATAACTACTGAAAGAGAGATTTCCAAACCTTTTATAACAACTTACTTCCTCATAATAGTGGTTGTTTTTTGTTATCCAAGAAGCTTACTAAAATCCTTTTGTTTTCAACGTATTTCCACTGAATGTACGAGAGAAATCACTTGTTTTCTAAGGTGAGGAAAGAAAAAGTCGTGTTTGTTAAGAAATAGCTATTTAATTTATCAAAAAAGGCACACAAGCCTTATTCCTTCCGGACTCATGAAATACGGACCGGAAATTATGGATCTTGATCTCTCTTTTTGTGTGTTCTTTGTAGTTTAAATGCTGTTTGACGGATTTTGATCAAATTTTGTAAAATGACTGTTGTTCATGAATTCTGGCAGATCGATTAGTAATAAGTTATGAAAATGTTGTACTAAGTTGCATGTTTAATAGAATATGACACTTCACGTACCGTTATGGCTTTCACTTCAAAGAACTGAAGACATAAGACAAATAAAATTACGTGAGATAAGGAAATGTGAAGTTATATATAAATCTGTGTATCATCTCAGATATAGAAACAACTACACAAAACTGACAGCTGAAGAACAAGTTTTATCCTGTAAAGTTTATCTCTGTAAATGCAAACATACCTGAGGTTGTTCGACAACAACATCGCACCAAGTGCGCTCATGTTTTAATTTTTAATTTTTACAGTTGTTTTTCTTTTGTTGTTGGGGTTTTTTTTCGTATCGCGCGTTGATATACAGTCTTAGCCTAAATGTTTGCATATTTTGTATAAATAAATAAATCATTATTATTAAGATGGAATACAAATACACTCAGCGCTGTCAAACTGAGAAATGCATGTTCTATTAAACATCTACATGTGTAATTTGTATAATTAGACAGGTTCTGTAGACATCAAGAACGATATATTAGAACAACAAACAATTTTATCAGACACCTGTAGAAAGATGTGCAATTCAGCATTTCACCTATCACAACAAAACCTCCCCAAAATATATATAATGACAAAATATGACAACAAATTATTACAAGTAGCGTCTGTAACCTTATATCAGTTCATATTAAACATTTAGTACTTGGTTGTTATCCTTGTACTCTAATAATCTCCGCAAGGTGACGTAGCATGCTGCCGATGTGGTTATTGATGTAATCCACTGTGATATCATCCCAATTTGGAGACGGCTTGTTGAAACGTTGTACGTTTGCTGTTATGTTAAGCTAATATTAAAGATTTTCTTCATTCAAGCCGTCTCCAAGCATTATTAGTCTCAAAGTCATCCCAATTTGTCACTAGAAGGTCCCGCAAGTCAGCTACAGTAGCTGGTTTAGGGTCGTTGTTAGCAAGTTTTCGCCTCAGTTCTATTCAACAGTTCTCAGTGGTCGTGACAATCTTGTAACGTCCTCCTGGTCTAGATAACCCTGTACAATACGCACACCGTGGGAAGTGGCATTCCCATCCTGAAACACAAAATTATTATCAAACATTGCCCAAGCTTATGGCAGAAATATCATCTCCATGCGATGCCTGTAAGAGGCGATATTGACGGTTCCCTGGTGAATATGAAGGACAGTTTTCCCACCATGATGAATAACTGCCCAAACATGTACTGTGCCACCTCCTGTGTATTCCCTGTAGGAAAGGCAGTCTTCCCTTATATGTTCTCCAGGTAAACGACAAACACGAATCTTACCATCAGCTTTAACAAACTGGAAACAGGACTCATATGAAAAGGTGATGAGTTGTCAGTGTCTTAAGTGTAAGCTGGCATGCTGTCTTGTCTAAGTAACACAGTGACAACAATGAATTCTGGCTAATATTGGTTTGCAGATAGCCCTTCTTGTAAAATAATCTTGTTTGATCAGTCTCCTATTCACTGTTTTTCTGTATATCCTGGGATGAATCTGCTCATGCCTATCCTGACGTAAGGTGTTGCAAGATTTCTTTCGACCTTGACGTGTTAACCTGATCAAAACACGATCATCTCGGGCAGTAGTTTTTCGGCCTTTACCAGTAGAAATTCCTGAAAAAATGTTTCCTGTAGTCCGATGACGTTTCAGGATTTTGGATACAGTACACTGGGGGTACCCTACTACTCTGGCAATGTCCATTTGCTTCATAACATTTCTGGATAGTCGAACAATTTGACGCTCTATAACTTCTGGTACGTAACGAGGCATGACTCAACACCAAGTACAGATATATTATCTGGGCAAAGCGTTGTTTGGTTTCCAAAAAATTATAACAGAAACATCTCTTTAATACAAAACATGTTTGAATGTGTGTTTTGACGAACAAATGCTCAAAACAACTTGTACAGACCAGATTAACAACTCGTACATGTTTGTCCAATCATACGCTTCCTTCTCTGTTACTGTTCAGACATTTACTCAATAACTATTCCATGCACGTAGACAA